CTTCCATTAGTCAATCCCATAAATAGCTCCTTTATAATATTTAATAAGATTATCCTTCTGTGACTGGAGGTGTTTATAAATAATTACCTAAATTACTTCACATATTTCAAAAATAACTAAAGCAAGAGTGTTTGATGAGTATGATAATTAAAATTAACAATTCTTCTCTTAGTAATTAACAATATTTTTTGATATGACTCTGAAATAAACTGTAATAGCCAATAATCAACTTCATTATTATTATGAATGTATTTTTTAGGTTTTATGTTTCTTTAATTTATCCATACTTCTTATTATTTATTTGAGTCAATCCTCAATTATTATCTCTTTTCAACTATTTTTCCGCGTTGGCCAGACATTTACAATTCTTGAGATATGTTATCGGCATGAGTTTGCAATATAGATATCAAAAAGAAGGAATCCATTTTGAAATTATTATTATGTTGTTGTTGACTGTAAGATAAAGGGATGAATTAAATTAAGCAATACATCATATCAATTAAGAGCACATAGGTATTTAAGGTTGAGGCAGTTGAAGGATAGATAGAGTGAAGCTAATTTATTGGAAAAAAATGGAATTCTATTGTAATGTTATCAAAAAAGAGTAATAAATTTGGAATAGCAGGTAGAACAATTGAATGAATAATTAGCATAAGCTGTCAAATTACAATTTAATAAATGTACAACAAATAAAGTTAAGATATTGCTCATGATGAAATAAAGCTTGAAGCTAATAGAAAAATTTTAATTAGAAGGAAATAGCAGAAATGAATTGCATAACATTTCATCCCTAATATTAAATACTGGATTCAGCAAGTAATGATGGAAGCATTAAATTATGGGATTAGGATTGTGATCATTTTGAAAAAACATTAAAAGGTCATACATGTAATGTAAATAGTTTTAAATTTGATTCTAGTGGAAATATATTTGTATAATTAAATTCGATAATAAGGATTGATCAATAAAAATATGGGATTTTTTAAAATCATACATGTGTAAAAACATATATATGGGTCATAGATAATGGATAAGTTTTACATTAATTGGGTGAACATGAGCATGTAGTTGAATAGGTGAAGTATGTTCCAGAAAATAGAATTCACTAATATTAATTTAGAAATAATAATTTGAAAAGATAAAGAAATTAAAATTTGGAAAACTATCCTATTAACAAATCTAATTATGTTTAGAATCTTCTGTGAATGATAATTTAAAATTTTTATAGGTTTCTAAATAATAAATTTAAATTTAGATGACCATTTCGTATATAGATTATAAATGATATAACCTTGAACTCCCGTAAAAAAAATATAACTAGAATCGGAAGCGAATTAAA